CCATCTTGAGAATAGCCCCCGCCCCGCGCGCCGCTTCCGCTTCCGGGGCGCTTGGCCTCGGCAGGCGGGAAGAGCCTCGCGCAGCTTGCGACGCCGCCATCTTGGAGCGAGGCCTGGGTGCCTCGTTTCCGGTGTGGGGACGGCCCCAGAGTCGCCAAGGGCGCCTCTAGCTCAACCCCCCCTCCTGGGGCCCCGCCAGGGCTGGGTCCCCAGCTCCTTGCACCTGCCCAGTGCCCTCCTCTTGCCAGCAGCTGCGCCTGCCGGGGGGTGAAGGACGAGTCGACTGTCCCATAAGCGACTAGTCGCTCCCGACCCCCCACTTGCTGCCTCTACCAGAAAGAGGCGGGGGAGGGGGCGTGCTTCAGAGTGGCAAGTCCCTGGATCCCGGATCAGCTGGAGGCCCCTGGGGCTGTTGCTACACATTGAAGGTGGCATCGCCCTATCTCAGCTAATTGAAAGCTCCATACAAAATGCATCAACTATTCGATTGGTCAATTAGTTGATATTTAACATCCTTATCTTGCAGGGGGTTAGCCACAGCCTGTCTTGGCTGGCTGCTGACATGGGGCTCTCGCCTGCTGCAAGGAGCCCTGGCTGTGGTCACGGAGCTTGGCTCCCCTCTCTGCTGAGTGCCTGGCCCCACTGAGTCTGGGTGCTTCATTGGGGCTCCCCAGAAGCTGTGATGATCTATATATGTACTGTTATAAAAGGAGAGGTGTCTGTCCATCCGTCACAGAGAACACTTGAGAAGTTTCTAGGGGGAGGCATGCCCCCAGCCCCACTTACAGCTCTATCCCCTCTGCTGACGTCCTCACGGGTTAGGGAAGAGCATGCGCCCCATCATCCCTGTAGCAGCGGGGAGGGAAGAGGGTGCATCGTCTGAGCCTTCCTGCCCCTGGGAGCAGTGGGGAGGGAGGAGGCCCTGTGGCTAGAGCAGGCCCAAGTGTTCCTGGCCCTGGGGGGGAGGGCAGCAGGGAGGCAGAGGTGCACCTCACCCACTGCACCACTAGTGGGAGGGGAAGAGCACACACGCATCCCAGTATACTGGGAGCAGAGGGGAGGGAAGAGAACACTTGGCCCCAAGCCCACCCCCGGGGGAGCAGTGCCAAGGGAACAGGCCACAAGGCCTGAGCCTCCCCGCCCCAGGAGCAGCAAGGAGGGAGGCCACATGGCTCCAGTCACCCTGGCCCCTGAGCAGCATGGGGGGGGGAGGGTGGCCACATGGCTAAGCCATCCCAAGCCTCCTTGCCAGTGGGAACAGCGGAGAGGGAGGCACACCCTGGCCGTACTGGCCGGCTGGCAGGTGCTGCTGCTGGCAAGAAGAGGGCACTGGGCAGGTGCAAGTAACTGGAAACCCAGCCCTGGCAGGGCCCCACAAGAGGGGGTTGAGACCGAGACGCCCCTGGTGACTCTGGGGCCGTCCCCACACCCGGGACGAGGTGCCCAGGCCTCACTCCAAGATGGTGGTGTCGCAAGCTGCGCGAGGCTCTTCCCGCCTGCCGAGGCCAACCCTCACAAGCGGATGGGTAATGCTAGTATCAATAATAGTAGAGGCTTTTTTGTTACAGTTGCACTGTATGGAGTGCACTGGCAGAGTCATGTAGGATTGGCTGGGCTACAGAAGACCTCTGCCCTCAGGGCAGGAGAAGGTAAACCTAGACAGTCCATGACAGGTGTTTGGCTAAGCTGTTCTGAAAAACCATCAGTGATTGAGATGCCTAAGCGATTTGTTCCAATGCTTTCCTACCCTGACAGTTAAGAAGTTTTTCCTAATGTCCAGCTATTCAGTTACATTGAGCATCAGGAGTCCATAAGCACGTGCAAGATAACTTATTTCTAGCTAAACTACAACTCTATTCTTATTATTGCATTCCCACCCTTATTATTTGTTCATCTGTAGCACCTTATGTTAAATTGGATTATAAGAGAGCAGACCAGGAACTGAACCTGGTTCCCATGGTGATACAGAGCACTAGCTCCGGGCTAGTCTTACGGTGACCTTATTTTCCGCACCCAAAATTGGGACACATCAACCGACAAAGGATATTTTTTATTTGCGAATATACTTATATGAAAAATCTCACAAAAGTATAATAATTAAATAACAGGGCAGTGAGTGAGTGGAGTAGGCAGGGTGGTGAGTGAGCAGGCTGAGAGTGCGGGGTCTTGGTAGAGGTGGTGAGTGAGTGGGCTGGGGGTGCAGGGTCTGGACGTGAAGGAAAGGGGGGGGGCACTTGCTTTTGTGTGGCTCCCAACACCGTGCCCCAGGCACCGCCTCCTGCTGCACTGATTAGCTGGATTCAGGAGCAGCAGTAAATGCCTCCAGGAAGTGCATCCCTGTGCTGCTGTTCCCCCAGGGGAAAGCAGAGTGGGAGTGGCAGCATGCGCAGCCACTTCTAGCTGTGCTTCTTCCCCACATGCTGGATTTGGTAGGGATCCTTGGGGCTTTTTCTCATCCCCCAAAAAAATATTTGCTGAACTATTGGAATTTCTGGGACATTTTGATGGTTTATGGGGACAACAGCACAGAATATTTGAAATTGGTACTGTCCTGGAAAATCTGTGACGTATGGTAGGTGTAGCTAGTCTACACTATAAGTGCTCTGTGTTGACACAAGAAAGCTCTCCCACTGTCATAACACCGTCAAAACTGGTGCTGGGTATGGTGTAACTTACGTCACTCAGGGAGGTGGCTTATTTAAACCTCTGAGTGACATACGTTATACCCAACATAGGTGGTATTTTGTATAAGTCGTGACGACTCCAGAGAACAAGAAACTAAGGCAGTGATAGTATCCAGGTCCTTTATGTTACATACAAAATGGACCAGAGAGAACACTAGCCATAGGACACTCCGTCCATGCTATTTCTCCTACCTCTGATAAACTCTCCCCAGTATGCCTCAAGATACTAGACATATGCTCCATGGCAATACTGCAGCAGTCAACCATCTGAAATCATGGAAAAACTTCCTAGGTGGAACCTTGAATGAGTGATAGCTGCATGACTGGTGACGTGGCACAGACAGTTTGAAATATTCCATTAGGACATGAAAATGCACATTGACATTGCTGAATGTTTTTCCATGGGTGCAGGGAGGGATTACTCAATCTGGAGAGGTTGCAATAATTTCTGTACAAGAGTAGGTAGGTCAAAAGTCAATGTGTAAAAGTGGACCTATTCCAACAATTCAGACCCACTTGGCTGCAGTGAAACACAAACCATGGAACATGTGTTGGTCTCCCACCTCCTAGACTCAGAACCATGCATCATGGAAGATCATGCCAGTGCTACAGATTTAGCATGTGGGCCTAATACTGAAACCCCCTCCCCCTAAAACCTCCCCTATGACTGTGGTGGAAGGACATGAGAACAACAATATACCCCTCCCCTGGGGAGGCCTCTTCTAAATATTCTTCCATCCCCACTTTTTAATGTGATTCTTGGAGCCCTGCTTATAGCTTTAAATTGTTCTCTTTTGTTTTGCTATGCAATATGGCCATCTCTAGAAGCAGTAATCTTTAACTGCTCTAAGTTTATACCTAAGAGCATAAGAGACACTGAGGGTGCGTCTACGCAGCAGGGCTTAACTCAAAATAAGCTACGTAAATTGAGCTTTGTCAATTGTGTAGCTTATTGCAAAATTGGGAGCGTCTACACAGCACTTATTTTGAAATAGAGCACTCTTCCTCTGACTTCCCTTACTCGTACAATGAGGGTTCCAGGAGTCGGAGTAAGAAGTTCTCTAGCTTGACAGTACTTTGACATTATTTCAAAATAACTGCCTGCTGTATAGATGTGGACTAAGTTATTTTGAAATAATGTTGCTGTGTAGACATAGCCTGATTTCCATTCCAGGGATATTTTCATCAGTATTGGACACAGTGATGTCACACTTTTGTGGGTTTGGTTTTTTTACTTTGTAAAGTGAACTTTATGCTGGTGAAAGTAGTTTAGCTGTAGGCACCTAATAGGTTATTGAATAAACTCTCCTCAATTAAATCCAGTACTTTCAACTTTCCTTCTAGCTGGATTGCCAAAGATGGTGGAGAAGGCAGACTTAGGTTTCAAATAGGATGGAAACTACAGTTGGGAAGCACGACAATAGTTAATGAATAATGAAGACAAGGAGGCAAATCAGCTTTTCAGGAGCTTTGCAGTATCTTTTGACCTGGGATAGGGATGTTACAGCACGATGTAAAAGTGGTTGGTCTTACAGAATGAGGCTAACATGGTGATTTAGACCCAATACTCCGTTTGTTTTACTTGACTGTTCATCCAGCTCCACCTTTAAAAAAGAGAAATTTAACTGGCACAGAATTCTATGCAAGAAAGAAGATTATCCATCTTCATAACAAAGAGAAACTTTTGGGCAGTCTACTTATGTTTACTCTAGCTGATCAGAGAGCATTTTTGACAATAACTGTTAACAGTATAGATCATACAGTCCCAAGGATACAAAGTGCCTGCCAATTTGGGTAGAAGCCTATTTTATCTCTCTGAGTTTGGAAGTTTGTCATATTTCTGATTTCACAGTGTTAATTTTGAATTTGAAGCAGTTACCAAATTTGTTTCATCAAGCCCTGGTACTCAGGGGAAAAGAGAAATAATGTTGGATAGAGAAATAATGTTTATGTGTCACAAAAGGAGAATTGAAAGAAGTTCTCCTAACATACTTCTCTTAAAGCCAACAGCTATATACTCTTGGACTATGATCTTATCATCACTAAGTAGAGTTAGGTCAGATCAGTACTTGGATGAGAGACCTCTGAGGAAAATTTAGGATGTTGCAGATGACAGGGATAATTCAATAGAGAATGTCCCTCTTTCTTACTTAAGACTGAATCAATACAGGCAGTCCCCGGGTTACATCAATCCAACTTACGACGGATCCCTAGTTACAAACGGGGTGGGGGGTGGGGGGCACAGCTAGTGCGGAGTGCCTCCCCCACTGTCGCCCGCCTCCGGTGGCGCAGGGGGCGCTTCCCCCCAGCAGACCAGGGAGACGCAGAGCTAGTGCCTCCCCCCCAGCAGACCAGGGAGACGCGGAGCGGCTTTTCTCGCCACGGAGGATGCGGGTCTGCTGGGGGGAACAAGACACCAGCCAAAAGGGGGCACCCCAGAGCGGAAAAATTAATTTCCTAGGGAACA